CCCCAAAACCCCAAAACCCCAAAACCCCAAAACCCCAAAACCCCTACTTGTGACGTGACAATTGAATAGTGCTTTTATAGAATGCAATTTCTAAATATTAAAATGGGTTGCACATCATCAAACCAAACCAAATCTCCATTGCCTCATCTAGTTATTGCTGGGTTCCAATATGGAGGATACAATCTTCTCCATCAAGTAAAGGACAAGTTCAGAGTCACAGTGATTGATAAGAAAGATTTCTTTGAATGGACACCTGCTGGACCGACAAATATGAGCAAAGAAGGAAATTTCGAAATGATTTCTGAAAATTATCACAATGCTATCAACACTAATAAGGTATTTGGATCGAATGTGAACTTCAAGCAAGGCCTTGTAACCGAACTTGTTGATAATCATAACCTCAAGTATGTTCCTACCAGAAAATAGTAAAACTACAAGTCAGACTGCAGCTGAGAAAAATGTGACGTTCAATTATCTTGCCATTTGTACTGGAAGTATATGGTCAGCTAATCATGACTTGAAAGATGTCCTCAGTATTTACTCAAAAGAAGACAAATCTAAATACTTTGCCCAATATAGAGAGCAGATAGACAACGCTAAATCCATTCTCATTGTTGGTGGAGGACCAACAGGACTTGAATGTGCTGGAGAAATCTTAATGAAATATAAAGACCAAAAGAAATAGCAATAGCAACAAGCGCATCTAAACTTATCGAGGCATATGGAGAGAAAGCATCTGAAATGGCTAAAGACCACTTCGAAGCCAAGAATGTTGACTTACACTTCAACACAATGTTTGACTCATCTCACGAGTTAGCCAAAGAATATGACTTTGTCTTGAACTGTGTAGGAACTAGAGTAGCCACTCCATTTATGGATAAACACTACTCCGACTTCAAAGGAGACAGAGGACACATATTTGTCAACGAGTTCCACCAAGTCACTAATGTGAATCCACTTACAGGTAAAAGCAGCGGATCTACAGAAGTTCTGGACAATGTCTTTGCTTTTGGTGATTGCTCACTTTCAAAGCTGAATGAAACTAAAAATGTTCCTGCAGCAACTGTTGGTGCTCTAACAGTTGCCAACAATCTTATTCAAAGTATTGATGGTGATAAGAAAGACTTCAGAACAATCCCAGAGCATAATTTCTTTATTTCTGGAGTTTACTTTGATGATACTGCTGGAGTAATTGTAATGGGTCCAGATACAATCATGAATCCAAAATTGTATGAAGAAAAGAAGGGATATTTTCCACCATATATAAGTTTCTTGAGAAACGAAGCTGACTCTCAAAAGAAATACAACGATTACATCACAATGTTCAAAAGCTAATACCATTTAAAATCTTCAATATCCATTATGAATTCAGGGGTTTTGGGGTTTTGGGGTTTTGGGGTTTTGGGG